GGGAGGAATTTAAACTTGATTTCAAGTTTGTTTCAGCACAGTTCTTTTTTTTACCTGTTCTGCCTTAAATTGTATACTGACTGATTTAAAGAAGTCTTAACAATTCGGTGCTGGATTAGCCACCACTTTGCAAAAGTTACTCCTGAACTTTAAAAAATATAAAATAAAAATTGAAGTATGTATTGCTTTAAATGTAGTAAGCTGCACTTGAACTGACAGTCCTAGAGAAATCTTATCTTCATGCAGACTGACAAATGAGTTATTTCTGCCTGCCCTTTCCTTCCTCTTTGGAGGCAATAATGGAAAGATATCCAAGTAATCTAACCACATGAACAAGCAATTGCAGCATGGCTAAGGCAAGGGGAGCTATTGCTTATGTGAACTAAAGTTCAGTTCCAAAATTCTGCTTGTACAATTGCTGGTAGGGTTTGGATTCAACAGGGGTCACATATCTACACTTAGGAGAGAAGGTAGGAAGAGGTAAAACATGCAAAATACGATACTGACTGTTAAAAACTGTTGCTCTAGTGCTGGTTCCTGCAGCAGGATGGTTCAGGAGTGAGGTGCCAGACACTATGGAGTTGGTGGCAAGTCTGCCAGCTTTACAAACTCTTCAAGCCTGCAGAGGAGGGAAGAGTGGAATACATGAGCTGTAGCAACAGATACAGAGGAGTCACAAGGTTTTCATGCTGTACTGCCAAATAATGTGTGTGTAATCATACACCATTGTATTAGGTTCCTGCGTAAAGTTGTTTTCCTTGAGTTAGCCGAGGGTGCAGTTTCATGGTTTATGTAAGCTGGTCCAGGACAGTGCTGCTGTGAAAGAAAGCTGGTCCTGCTTGGTGTTTAAATGCACTTTTCCAACACCCCTGTCCCTCCCCAGTTTGTACTGGTCCTTTTTCACTCGTCTGTGTATGTATTTATGGGCCAGTTTTAGCTGTGTGACTGCAGGTGCACCTTCATGACTCCTTACACCTTGTCTCAGGTTAGCATTAGGTTAGCTTAATCCGGTGATAAAAATGCTTCCTCAGATATGGGTTTTGTAGAAATGCTGGCACGCACTGTCTGAAAATAGATACTGGGTTAAAAATGGGAACTTTGACCTGCACTCTTGAAAATTTTGAGGTTTTCTTTAAAGGAAAATGTTCTTCCAACTTTTAAAATTTTCTTCCAAACTTGTAAAAAATTTTTTTTACTCCCTGGTAGTAATTTGTCTTCTATTGTTGGAAGGAATGGAAAAATCCTTTAGCCTGTAAACAATGGACCAAAGCATCCCTTCTGGGAAACTGAAATTTTTATATACAAAGAAAAACGTCAAACTTTGAATCTGTAGAGCATGTGCATTCCTCATACAGTATTTAAGATTTTGCCTGACTTTATGCTAAGAAAATTGTGAATGGAGTTTTACAAGTTTTGTATTCTGGCAAATCAGTCCTAGTGAGGTGAGATATGTGCTGGTTGTTGCTGCTGTTCCCGTCAGTTGCCAGGGAGGGGCTGGAGGGGGAAGCCTGCATTTACTTTTGTAATAGCATTTGTGTTGCCAGTTTTTGCCAGTCATAGCTCTGTTTATCAAATCCTGATATGAACCACGGTGCTGTGGCAGTAGTGTACCCTAGTGCACATCTGGCCTTTGGTCTCTGATGTAGGAACTGGTAATATTCCCAATAATTGCTTATTTCCTTTGTGAAATAAGACAGAGTCAAGCGAGATCTGCACTCTCCAATATAAACAGAGTTACTAAGCTTTCAGCAATTACTGAAAGATTTGATTATAGACAGTACAGCCTAATACATATATTTGTGTGTGTACAGAAATCACAAGGACAGTGTTTATTTCATGCAGTTCAGGATTCAGTAACTAAGGCATCGGCTTCAGAGGATTAATCACTGCTCTAGAAAAGCAGTGATTTAAAAAAAAAGGAATCACCAAGCTGGGCTCATTACCCTGGATTTAAATGTACATTACAATTGTTATAAGGCAGAGGGGGAGGGATCTTTCATTTTATTCTTGATTACTTAGTCCATACTAGCTCATGCATGTAAGAAGTAGTGGAGCACAAATAAAGATGCATAAAAGAAGTTAAGCAGCTTTAATGACAACAAATGACCACCTCCTGTTTTCAGGTGCTTTTAAGAGGTTTAAATGAGATACTTGTTCAATAATCCTATTGAGACACAGTGAGGCTATTGAAATACTTTCTATAGTGTTGAAAACTGGTGAAACTCTGGCGCTCCATAGTATATAGCAACTTGAAGAAAGACATTAAAAATTGACTCTGTCACATCCCTTTGCTGTGTTGCTTTAAATTTTCTTCGTAGTAAATACATATCTGTATGTGAGCTTAAGTGATAATTGGATGATCATATCAAGTATTTTTTAAATAAATATTTAAATTTTAGCCTTTCAATGCATTTCTTTTTTTTTTTCCCCTTCCAGTTTCTGCGAATATGTGCCGATCTTTTCCGCCTGGTCCCTTTCTTGGTTTTCCTTGTTGTCCCATTTATGGAATTTTTGCTTCCAGTAGCTCTTAAGTTGTTCCCTAACATGCTTCCCTCTACATTTGAGACAAAGTCTAAAAAGGTAAGCAGATCTGAATTTATAATCCAGTAATATGATTTGAAAAAATCAGAATTTCCTTGGTAATGAAATCAGAAAAAGTTTAAAAATTAGACTCTTTTTTCAGTATTAGGGGAGTGCTTTTATCTTCCTTATCTTGTTGGAAGATCTTGCTGTTAACATATAATAATGAACCATCCTGGTTTACCTTTTCATATGTGCAAGTGCTTAAGCTATCAGGGCTGAAAGCCTCTCTTGTCTTTTCTGCTATCCTCATCTCTCTTTACTCTGACCCTTTCTGCTTTGTAGCAGAAATTAAAGCTGTGAGACTTGATTCTTTTAGTTTGTGTTGAAATAGACTTTGTGACGTTTGTAGTCTTTATTCTTGATACAAGGTTTTTCATATGTATACTTTATATTTAAAATAGCTTCTTATGCATTTTTTGTTAAAACTTTTTTTATTTTAGTTAAGTTTTGTCAGAATTGTTTTAGAGCTTTTCTAATTCTGTGATAATTCTCTTTGTTTGGATGAGGTGTAGTGCAGGATTTCTGCACTGGGTACAAGTGTTGGGAACTACCCAAATCAGTTGGCAACAACAAGATAGAAACTAACCAATTCAGTGGGTGCAGGTTAATTTTTGCAGGTGAGGCCCTCATCCTGCACTGCACTCTGTTGGCATGGCATGGCATCCTGTGCCTCATGGAGCTTGAAGCTGAGAAGCTTATTTTCCAGTGTGATTTGGGGATCTTTGGTGAGAGTGAGTGGTACAGAAGAAGTCCAGAAATACTCTACATAACTTGTCTGGGGGCAGAAAAAGTGATAATTAGTGCCCATGTTTCTGGAAGGAACTTTGAAAACCAAATGTTTTCTTAACAGGAGGAAAGATTGAAGAAAGAATTGAGAGTAAAGCTTGAATTGGCTAAATTCCTTCAAGACACCATTGAGGAGATGGCCTTAAAAAATAAAGCAGCCAAAGGAAATGTTACAAAAGATTTTTCAACGTTCTTTCAAAAGGTAAAATCTTTTTTAAATGTATTTTCTCTTCCTACAAAAAAAATCACTTGGTGTTTTGTTTGGTCTGTGGTAGTCATCGGATGCCTTTATTCTGTTGGACCTGAAGAAGCTGGGTGTAGTATGTTTTTTAGGATAACTTTCTTCTTTTTCTAAGTAACACTTCAGTGTGATGTTTTGCTGTTCTTAGCTTTGGTGTTGTAGCTGGTGCTTTTACTCTGTATATTTCTGCTCATTTGCTTCTTGTTCTCTTATTTTGTTAATAAGTTAATTCTTACATAAAACATTATGTGCTCAGTGGTTACTCATGTAGTTTTTGACCTCTTTGGGGTTTTTTTAACATTGGGTATGAATACTGGGAGAAAGGAGTTCTTTCCTAACTAACAGATTGAAACTTAGGGGGGAAAGTACATTTTTTTTTGGTCAAATTTAATTCTGCTTATGAAAACAGTTTTTAAATGCACAGTTGCTATACTGCTGAAATCCTTTAGGTCGCTGACTAGATTGTGCAAAATCGGGTTTAGCTAGAATGTGATTGCTGTGTTTGGTGCAGAATTTTTCATTCACAATTAGCTACTGACAGAGAAAGTAAGTATGAGATATCTGCCTGCTACATTGATGGCCTTCAGGTTTGACAGTGTTTCCTTTGACCAGCCTGTAGGTAAGGGTAATGTATTCCCTGGAGAAATGAAAAATGCTTTCTTAAATCTTTACAGGACAGGATTTATCTCAGTTCAGTCACAATTTCTTCTAATTGTGAGGCTGTTGAATAAGAGGTTGAGCCAACAGCATCACCAGGTCCTTTGTTGAAAGTAAGGCTGAAGTACCCTCATTTGGGGAGAATATGTATTTGTACAGAAAAAGGCACATAAGCCCGGAGATTTCAGACCTGAACTTTACCAGTCCTGTCAGTGAATTTAAGATTTCCCTGCATGTCAGTGCAAAGAATAAAGTTTTAAAGGGTGAGCTAATAGGATGGTGTTGATAGTGCTGCACAGGTTACCTCAGATAGTCATAGTGGCAAATTTTGCCCATCAGTAGCTGCTTGCAAAGTCTATGGACTTTGAAGCTTCTATGCAATCATCTGTTTCTGTTCTTTTTTTCATCTGCAGAAATGTGTGAATGGTTAGGTAAAGTAGTTAGTGGCTGAAGCAGTGGCCCTGCAGTCCTGGGAGCATGCTGCTGCCATGCTTCATGTTTGGAACATTTCATTTTCCTCTGAAAGAGCTGCTGCTGAGAATTTACATTTGGCCGTTAATTTCTGTGGAAAAATAAATAATGTTTCACTCCACATTTGCTGGAGGAAGTCCCAGGTTCCTCTGATGACTAAAAGAGAAATTTCCAACCCTGCATTTCTTATATGTGGGTGTGCTTTTTACAGCTTTATATTTCTCGTTTGTGCCACAGACAGACTTCATTGATCTCATTTCACTGTAGCAGATAACAAGTGTCAGAGCAAGAACAAGCTTAAATGTTTCCCAGCTTTTCACTATTCTTTTACAGCTGCTTCTGTGGTGAAGTATTTGATGCTGCAAGAACCATTGATTACAGGCTTAACCTGTCTGCTGCAGAATTCCAGAATTTGTCTGTGTTGCTTTGTAGCTAGTGATGTACTAGAAAGCTTCAGTTTGTACTCTCAAGGTACACATGCTTGGCTCTGTCAAAATTTATCTTTAAACAAGGAAGTAAACACTTCCTCTATTTCTAAAGTGCCATTTTTGGCTCCTGTAGTGCAGGTACTGGTGAAGAAGAACAATAAGGCCTTTCACCATTTTTTCTCTCTGAGTTGGTTCCCTGCTACACAAGTATCCTGGACCTTAGTGGACTCAAGGCCATCTTGTCTTCCAGATATTTACCTTTTCTTGTACTTGGTAGCTGTTCATTAAAGTATCTGAGTATGCAAGTAAAACAGGTAGGCATTGATAAATCAGACTGTATAGGTAATGTTAGGTTTTCAGACTGTACTGATGTCACCTAGTTTATGTTTTCTTTACAGGGCTTGAAAAAGGTAGAGGCATTGGGAAAACTGGTTTTTTGATATCTCCACACTTCCTGTTCAGACTGAGGGTGTTAAGTGACTGGGAGTACTTCATTGTTAAGTTCTGTAGGTTTTTGATGCAGTGATGTCACTAGTAAGCTGTTGATGGTATACTTCAAATAGAAAAATCAACATTTGTACAGGGGATAATGCTTTTTACTGTGACCTGTTGAGACTAGGGATTTTTTTTTCTCCTCCCTTTTTCAACTGTTATTTCTGCTTCCAGTAATGGGATTTATTTATTGTCAAGTGTCCTTTGGCAACACATAACTGAAAAGCTTAACTTTGCATTTGTACAAGCAGTTTCATAGAACCTTCCAGCACAAAGGATGCGGAGTCCTTTCCCAAGCAGTTGTTTGTACTTGGGGATAACTTCAAGAGCATTTGCACAGAGGTGCTGCAGAACAGCTAGGAAATGGAAGCAAAACAATATTGTAACAAATGTGATTGTGGAGGAAAGTAGGTAGGTAAGCATTTCATAGGGACACCAGCACGGCAAAATTTTTGCCACTGGATGTACTTCTCCCTTTATCTTTCCAGGGTGATGCTTTTAATGTGCTTTTATGTTTAGCAAGTGTGGTACCACAAAAAATACTTGCTAGTGTGACTTATGTAGGAACTTCTTATTTGCTAAGATGTGTATATATATTTTGAGGTGTCTCATGGCAGTGCCAACTCAGATAGACCTGCTCAGTAGTGTACAGATGAAGCTAATTTTTGTATTGTTACTTTTTTCTGAAGTATATTATGCAGTGTTGTTGGAAACTGTCAACACCATCAATTCGTTTGTCTTTTATAGTAAAGAAGCTATTTGTTTTTTCAAAAATTTCTTTCCTTACTTGCTTGTACACTATTTCCTGTCCCAAGATGTATGCAAATTACTTGACAAATGAGGAGAGTGATTTTATTCAAAATAATGCCCAACCATAACATTTCCTGTGAAAAGCTTTGTGTTTGTTTGCTTTTTCCTGACAGATCAGGGAGACTGGCGAAAGGCCCAGTAATGAGGAGATCTTAAGGTTCTCTAAACTGTTTGAAGATGAGTTGACACTGGACAATCTAACAAGGCCTCAGCTGGTGGCACTTTGTAAGTTGTTGGAACTTCAGTCAATTGGGACAAATAACTTTCTCCGCTTCCAGCTGACTATGAGGTTGAGAAGCATAAAAGCAGATGACAAGGTGAGTTGTTCTAAATAGGCACTGGTTAATAATTTTTGACACATAAGAGTATTGACTGTGATATATGTATTTTTTAGGTGTTTTTTTCCTTGTCTTACTTTTGAGCTAACTTTGAATGAAAAGGCTCAAAGAACTTAAAATCAGAAGTGGCCTTACTTGTAAAGAAAACTTGACCTTTTCCTAATCTGTCATTAATTGGATTGAAAGTAATTATACTACAAAGAAAAACGTTTCTATGAAACTATAATCTGTAAGGGAGGTCACAGAAATACTAGTTTAGAGATTGCCATGGTCATTACGGAGCTGTTTGAACAGTGGAGGCTGTTTTGTGTTCTCACAGCAGCCTCTAGTGGCTGTTGTAGCATACAGGCTTCGAGCTCTGCAGTGATAGTTTTGAGCTCTTACATACTCAAATTTACTTTGTGCACTGTGCAGTTGATTGCTGAAGAAGGAGTTGATACCCTGACTGTTAAAGAACTGCAGGCAGCTTGTCGTGCCCGAGGGATGAGAGCTCTTGGTGTGACCCAGGAGCGTCTCAAGGAACAGCTTAAACAGGTATGCATTTGCAAGACTTGAATACACAGACCTAATTGCAGAAGTTTGTCTTGTTACTTATTTGCATTGCTCTGTAAAAAAATTTTCACCAAGTAGATCACTTCTCTGTCTTTTGGTGTTGCCTAGTTTAGAGAAGATCTGTTGGAACTAGGCCAGAGGAAATCCACAAAGTAGTTGATCACAGGGCTGGATACCTCTGGTATGAAGACAGTCTGAGAAATCTGGGGAAGAGAAAGCTCTGGGGGACAACTTATAGCACCTTCCAGTACCTAGTAGGGGCTTACAGGAAAGCTGGAGAGGGACTTTTCACAAGGGCATGTAGTGATAGGACAAGGGGAAAAATGGCCTTAAACTGAAGGAGGGCAGGTTTAGATTAGGTTTTAGGAAGAAGTTCTGTTCTGTGAGGGTGGTGAGACACTGGAACAGGTTGTCCAGAGATATTGTGGACTCTGCATCCCTGGAGGTGTTCTGGATGAGGCTCTGAGCAACCTGGTTTAGTCGAAGGTGTCCCTACCCATGGCAGGGGGTTGGAACTAGATGGTGTTTAAGCTCCCTTCTAACCCAAACCATTCTGTGATTCTAAGATGTATGTCAAACTTTTTCAAATATTCATTCAATACTTCAAATACTTCTTCAAACAAAATACTTCTTCCTATATTTCAGTGCAGTTGTTGTAATTCTTAGCTAGTTACAGCCTGTAGTTCCTGTGCTAAGATATTGACTGAGTAGTGGTAAAAAAAAATTACATTTACTTTTTTGTACATGCTTTATTTTGTCTGTAAAAAAAAGAGAAAAAAATCCCGAAGTTGAAGACTTGTTTTCTATATTGCATTTATAGTGGCTGGACCTGCACCTGAACCAGGAAATCCCTACTTCATTGCTTATTTTATCCAGAGCCATGTATCTTCCAGATACCCTTTCTCCAGCTGATCAGCTCAAAACAACACTTCAGACACTACCAGATAGTGTTGTAAGTATTGCTGTGCATAGCATCTAACCAGCTTTCAGTGTCATAATTGAAAATCCATTCAGAGAGGCAGGTAATCTTCTTGGTTCCTTCTTTTCCTTGAAAAACTAAACCATGGATAGGTTTATTTGAGTGACCTTCAAACACAGAAGAAGTTGGGTTATTCGTGGAGGGATCTGAGAATGCAGCAAATACAAGGCAATATTATTTTGCATGACAGCATAAGAAGCTGTAGAATACACTTTTTACTTATATGAAAAACCAAAGAATGCTCTGGGTCATATAAAGACATGAAAATACATCATGTTGTTATGTAGAGAGAGAAATCATCAGAGTAGATTTTTGGTAGTCTTGAGAGAAAGAGAATGAAGAACATGTATGATTTCAGGGTGAAAAGTTCAGGTTTATTCCGGAAACCAAAACTTTCTGCAGAAATTTTTTTCCCAGAAAAAGTCATCTTTTTCTGAGAAATGCAAAAATAGGGTAACTTTTGGGCGTTTTAACTTTATTCATTGGCATACCTCTACTATCTCAGTAAGAATATCTGTACTTCTTAATATATATATACACACACTTAGACTTCCTGTGGTATTTTTAGGCCAAAGAGGCTCAAGTTAAAGTGGCAGAAGTTGAAGGTGAAAAAGTGGATAACAAAGTGCGTCTGGAAGCAACACTTCAGGAAGAGGAAGCCATCAGAAAAGAAAATGAAGAAAAAGAAATGGAAAGGTTGTCTGAAGCTGCAGAGAAAGCCAAAGAAACCCCTGAAGTTGCAGCTGTGGTAAGTTCTGCTCACAACTGTTGAGAAGTAAATGTCAGTGATGTAAAAAGTAGCATGTTATAAGTTGTTGCCTCTGCTCTGGGTGTTGTGTGCAAGAAACTGGACTTTAAATCCACCTGTGGAAGATGTGGGAGAATATTAAAACTGCACACAGAAGGGATCTGCTCAGTCTTACGTATCTGATTTTTCTTCTTAATTAAGGTAGTAAAAGAAGACTTACTTCTCCAGCAAGTGTGCTGGTTTTGATTGGGTTTGTTTGGATTTTTTCCTTGTCCTAACTCCATACTTTAGATCTTTTTATCTTTGGCTCTTTCTATGTCATTAACCTGATAATGTCATTGTACTATTTGGCTGTAAAAGCTGCTGACCTGCTTTACTGGTGAATTAAGCCTCAGGAGCTCACAGGGCAGTTCATTAAGTGCACGTGTGTATGTTAATGTGAAACCACTCAATATGTGGTAGTTTTTATCTTTTTTAACCTCATAAAAATGTGTGCAACTTTGGCAACTATTGCTATTTTGAGAAGCAGTTCTTCACTGATGCTAATACAGATAGTGTTATTTTTTTAAAAATTGAAACTGAATGAGTGTTTCAAATTTAGAAAGAGGTGGAACCAGCAGTGGATCTTGAAGGAGCTGCTCTGCAAGCTAAAAAAACGCAAGTGGCTGTGGATGCCAAACAAGAAGTGGCAAGGGCAGACGTGGCAGTGCATCCAGAGACACTGATAGATACAGCACCAGTATTGGAAGGCATTAAGGTAATCTGCATGACTACATGTTTTCATGCTTTTTAATGTGAAGATTCAAAGCATCCGTGTAAGAACCGTGGTAAGTTGATTGTCTGTCCTTCCCTTTCAACCCTCACTGCATTCTGCCAGTCAAAACCAGCTGCTTAGCAGATTGAAAATTCTTCAACCATGAGTGCAGAAACTGAAGTCAGGCACAAACCATCTCTATTTTCTTTATCTGTCTGCATTATTGAAATTAATATACCTATTTTGGAAGGCATTTGCACTGGCTGTAGATGTGACACATCTGTGCATGTTTAAGCTTTGTATAGTTAACACACAGGGAGAGAGCAGGAGTAGGTCAAGATGAGTGTTCCCTTTTTTTGAAACTTTTCAGTTTTCCTCAACAGTATCATTGTCTACCTGCTGTTATCATTGCATTGTTTACTTGAGGATGCTGCCCACATGGTTTTCATGGTAATAACCAAATGGAACTAATGCACATTGAAATGGGTGGTGAATTGAAACAATGTTGTGTGGTGAGTTGGCTCCTCCCTGACTGCATAGCTGGGTACATGAAGTGCAGCCGGGAGGAATGCTGTGGGAGGGAGGCAGGCAAGGCTGGGATGATCTTACTTGGAAACAGCAGGAGCGTTTGATGTTGCCACATGGGGCATAGTGTTTACATCGGTGCCTGTCACGATGCCATGAGAATGTATAAGGCCATAAGTAGGACTTCTTCAACAGCCCAAACTGATAAGAGAAAATAAGAACTTAGAGTGACAGTTCTTAACTGAGGTTGCAGAGTGGCCTGTCCCCTAAAGATGCTTCCAGAGGTTTTAAACACAGTGGGATTCTCGCCTCTTAGAGGAAGAATGTGAGGCTGCCAGCTTGTTGAAGATGATTGATTTTATTTGAGGCAGAGGAATTTGTTTTCAAACTGAGTTGCTTGCCTTTTATTTTTAATACTATGTTTTTTGCTAAGTTGAACTATAAATACTGTATTAAAATCTGAAATGAGGTTGATGCCTCAGTACACTAAAACTCCTTCTGAGTTGACAAAGGGTCTGGATACCTGTTCAACAGTTGCTTCTTGGAAGCACATCATGCTTCTCCTCTGTGTTCCGGACATCCTTGTTTGCACATGTCTTTCTGTATTCTACTTAATGTGGCTGTTCAAAGCTTCGCCATTCAAAATAAAAACTGGTGCCTGGGTAAGATTAATATACTATCTGTAGGTAGTATTATGGGATTTTAGCATTTCTGATGAATCATCTTGAAGTCTTATTTTTTCAGTATCCTGTTAGAGGTTAGATTTTTATTTTCAACTTTTCAAGAGACAGGTATGGTTCACAAACTATGGGTGTTCATCCTCATTCTCACAAAGGTTGTTGAAGATTACTTTTTTCTTAGCTCGACTTTCCAAATTTTACATTTTTTTGGTGTAATTTATCTTTTCTTTCATAGTGAATTATTTCTCAGTTTGAATTATTTCACCCAGCAAAGAATGAAGTAAAACATTCTGAAATGAGATGATTAGGTACAGAATTTCAAATAGCCAAAACCAACATAGTCAATCACATTAGCTGAACTTATTACTACTGTACTTCAAAAAAATATGTACTATAGCAAAGTACTAATGTAAGATCTTTGCATTAGCCTAAAAATGTGGGTCTCTGCATTAGCCTCAAATTGGCTATGACAGTATTGACTCTAAACATGGAAAAAGAATCTTGAGTCTGTCTTTTCTCATAAATGACCCAAAATCTTTGATGAAACACAAATGTTCCTTTCAATGATTTGTATACGTTTTCTTTTACAGGGTGAGGAGATCACCAAAGAGGAGATTGACATGCTGAGCGATGCTTGCAACAAGCTGCAGGAACAGAAAAAATCACTAACAAAGGAAAAGGAGGAACTTGAGGAACTGAAGGATGATATACAGGAGTATAGTGAGGTGAAGAATGGGGCATGGAAATTCTTTTTTAGTTCATGTTTAATTTTAGCAGAGAAGATCCACAAATTCAAGTATTATTTTGCTTGGTTTTCTGTAGCCTGAACTTGGTAGCTGAGTGAATGAACTTTCTCTGGGACAATGCAGAGCCTCATTTGTATAACATGTTCAAAGCCTAGTTGTTATCATTGCAGTAGTTCCCACCAAATGAGAATCCTGTTCCTGCTGTTACTTCCAGGGTGAGTAGGCTAACAGGAGCTGACTGATTGCTGCATGTTGCAGTTCTTATCAAGTGTAGATGTCAGTGTTACAGAAACTTAGGTAAAATGAATCTTAGCCACTCTTGGGAAAGATGTGGAAATAAACGTTTAAGGGGGTGCATGGAAAAGGTAGCAGTGTTAGAATTTGTTGTTCTAATTCCGGTCTGTCTTTATATGTCTCTACATTTGCATTTCATTTACAAATGGCTCCTGTGTTGAAATGCCAGTTGAAGTCAGTAATGTCTGTTGTTGCAAATTCACACCAACAAAGCTTTTCTCTCTGTGGACCATTTCTTTTAGGATTTGCAAGAGATAAAAGAGCTCTCTAAGACTGCCCAGAAAGAGGCAGTGGAAGAGTCAAAGGCAAGCAAGAGGTTGACGAAGAGAGTGAACCGAATGATTGGTCAGATAGACAAAATTATTGTTGAATTAGAGACAAACGAAAAGGCAGTGGATACAAAGCTGGATGCTAGGGATGCTCCTGCTGGGTAAGTAACTTGGGAGCACTGGATGTGGCTCTGGCTGTTCATCTCCAGTTTCACTTTTGTCTGATGCGTGGTTAGAAAAGAATTGGTAAATGACATGTTGTTTAGAAAGTTGAGATAATTGATTTTTAAAACAAAATTAACAAAATTGTGCTGTAGAGAAGGAGGGAAAGAAAAGATGTGTAATTCCTCAGATGCTAGTCCTGAGAGCACTCTGAAAGTCAAAGTGTTGATTAGTATCTTACCATCTTGTTCCTGCCTCTGGCAGTAATGGTGACAGAGGTGAAGTCATGCCTTTAGTCATGCTCCTCATGCAGTAGCTTTGCCCTGTGTCATTGATTGCAGATGCACAACAGTGTGGTGAGCATGTTCACATCTGTTGGTCTTCAGCAGTACAATGTTAGTCAGGAAAAAAATTGCAAGAAAGTCTATGGTGTCTCTGGAGGGAAATGGAGGAATGGGTCTAATGGCAGTGAGGATATGATTTTTAAAAAAATGTACTTCAAGTTTTTAACACACTTGCAGATTTTCAAAGAAAGATCTTTCCTAATAAATTAATTTTGTAATGACACTATCAACACTTCTCAAGGTCTTAATGTTACTGAAAAGTCTTTCAGGCAATCCTATGTTAAATGGTCAAGTGCTGCATATTACAGACACTGAAATACCTGAAAACTGTGACACTAACTCTTACGGTTTGTGGTTCTGAATGGTATATTAATCTAGCTTATTCTTGCACCATTTTGTGTGATTCATTAAGAGAGATTCCCAGCTCCCAGAGAGCATAACCTAAACAGAAAGAAGGATTCTGCTTTTGTTGCTTCTGAACTTTGTTTTTTCCAGTCCCCAGGGCAAACGGTCATTTGTTTCAGATTTTGTGTAACAGCATTAGGGAAGACATATGAATGATGCTGCGGAGCAGTAGTTGATCAAAACCATCTGAATTTGTGCATAACAGTACAATACAGAATCTGCTTGTACTCAGTGTAATTATACTTTGTAATGGATGGTTTTGTGGATAATTTTCTAGGTGATTGTGGATGATTGAAAATTAGTAGTTTAAGTATGACTTAGTTGCCGAAGGCTTGTCTTGCAGCCTTCAGGTTGGTGCAGTGATTATCAAGCCATCAGCAGTCAGAGAAATGACACAAGTCCAGGACACCTAGTGGCAGCTTGAGAAATGCTTCCTGAGTAAATGTCAGTCTATGCCCTGAGGAGCTGGGTCTACACTGATAAAGCCCTTCTGTTCAGCACTTATTGGGTTCACATTTCAGTTGAATCTGTGCTGGAAGATGGTTCTTCAAACTCCAAAATACATAGGCAAATAGAGGCTTTAGGTTGCATCAGACAGACAACTTGAGTTTCATGAGATCAGTGAGCAGACAGTACAAACCTGAAACCTGCTAGTCCTTTCTTCTATAAAATCTGATCCTTGATGTGGACAAATGAAGCCTATTTTAACACAACAGGTAAATTGCTCAAGCGATTACTTCTCGGCTTTTGTTTTCCTGTGACTTTCATTGAATTTCTGTAGGCAGCCTCTAAATCTGAAAGGATGAGAGATGCATGGCACTGCATCTCTGCTGAATGGGGAGCTGGGGGGCAATGGGCATTAGATACATAGTCTGTGAAGTGCAGAAACTGTGCTAAACTTTTATTTCAAATGCTACTGGATGCTCGTGTTTATGCAATAAAACGTGGAAACTGAAAGCATGGGATTTCATGGTAAGATGCTTGCTGATCAGTCACTCATTTTGGCTTTTTTGCATTCTGTTCAGGATTAAAACTAATATTTTTGCAAACATTCTGCAGTTACTTTCAGTGCTGCCTTTTGTCAGCTTTACTTCTTTGGAGTAACTGCTTGCCTTGTACAGTTTGCGCTTTCCCTTCAGGGAGAATCTCGTCAGTATCGCTGAGCTGATTCACGCCATGAAACAAATTCAGAAGATTCCAGAGGAGAAGCTAACTAGGATTGCAGAGGCACTAGATGAAAACAAGGATGGCAAAATTGATATAGATAACGTTGTTAAGGTAAGTCTGTGGAGTACTTAAAGAAAATAAGGGTAAACATCCTTCTAATATTGGACTTGTTTTGACTTAAATTCAGAGTGTTGTATTTTGCAAGAGCCTTTGCTTGATGCCAGTGAGGGGTTTTGTAATATATTGTAAATAGATTTATAATATATATTAGTGTCTTGAGAATTGCTGTGGCTCTTTGTTTTAGAAAAAAAAATTATATCTTTTTCCTGTGTCTGTTACCCATGTTACCTTTTAAAGCTGTAGGTTTTCCTGTATGTCTGTGTCAAGTTCTGTAAAATATGGCAATTTTGTTGCTACTTACAAATGGGAGAGAGTAGAACTAGTACTTTAGGAATACCCCTGTAAGCCAAAGTCTTGACAAAACACACATAGATATCTTCTATGTCAACAGAAGACAGCAGCTTCTCTTGCCTACTTATATCCCTTAGGTGTTTCACTGAGACCTGTATTTCCTGTGCTTGCAAGACATCAGACCATCAGTTGTGCTTTAAGTCCATTGTAAATAACCTGTGTTTGTTGCCTGCTTTGTCCCGTTTTCTCATTTTGCAGAACATTCTCAGATTTTCTCTGCATTTCGTCTTCAGTTTGTTGTTTCTTTTTTTTTTAGTGGTAAATTTAGAGATGTCCTGAAACTTATTTCCTTGCAAGTAATTTTCTGACTTAGTACAGAAATAGCATTTCAACTATGGCCAGACAGAAATCACTTATCAGCCTTTTGAAACACATTTTTCCTCTCTACTGAAGTTCTCCCAGTGGTGATTATCTTCCCTGTTGCTCTAAGCAGACATTGTACATTTAGCAACGCAGATAAAATGTACTTCTGAATTCTGCATATATTGCAGAATAATTCTAGGAACTGGCGGAGGTATGCCAAGAATAGATTTGTACAAAAAGCTATGTAAAAGAATTTGGAATCACCTACTAAATTATTTTTTTCACTTTGTTGTCTGAAAGGCCCACCCCCCTCTACTTTTACGTTTTTATAACTTTGTGCGTATTTAGTCCAGTAGGGGTTTTTTTGATAAAATTAAGCCTATAAATTTATGTCTTAAATACTGTTTCAACAAATACTGAGTCTGAGCTTTCCATTGGACCAGGTGAAATAAATGGCTCGGTTATACTAATGCTTGAAAATGTTAATCTTTATGTGTTGCACACACAAAGGTCAAAAATTCTGTATCATTTGCTTTACATTTTAGCTTTTTTTTTTAATCCTCTGGATATGTTCAAGGTACTGGTTGTGGTTTGAATTTCTTTTGCCTAAGAAAAATGCTGTTTTTCTTGAATATGAGAACTGATTACTACTTCTGTTTTAAAAAAATTCATTATGTGAAAATGCCTCAATCTTGCAAAAAATGGTTTCTCAATTTCATTTTATGTTCATGTAGGTAGTGGAATTGATCGACAAAGAAGATATTGATATTGGCACCAATCAGGTTGCTGAGATTATGTCACTGCTTCAAAAAGAAGAAAAACTGGAAGAAAAAGAGAAAGCCAAGGAAAAGCATGATAAAGAAGCTGCAGAAGCAAAGAATTAGGCTTCAGAATCTGAAGCTAACTGCAGTTGTAACCAAAATCTTGTATATCTTTCTGTATCTAATGGCTACATATTACTTGAGCTTTGTGATTACGGGAAGTGTTTTGAGCTGATTCTGGTAATAAATCATAGATATGTTTTCCGACATATGGAATGAAATTCCCGTTCATCAGAGTAGTGATTTACTGTCATTCCATACTGATGAAAACAAATATGCTTCTTTAGCAGTGCTCCTGCCTACAAAAACATGTATTTGCACTCATTGTTGTGGTACAGTGATCCATTAAACTTGGAAGTTTGCTGTATAAAGTAAGTGTATCTATCAAGGAATAATGTTTCCCTTTCATCATTACACGGGCCCAACCTTGCTCTGCTTCTATCTTTTTAGCTTTTTCAAAATTTAATACAAATTTTCTGTTCTGTCACAATATTACATATTTTATAATCTGTTGGTGAAGATTCTGTGGCTTCAGTAGTAGCTCTATAAATAGAGGGTTTTTAAGCTAAATATCACTAAGTTGTTGCCTCACTGACAGAGAATGTGGCATTCTGATCACTTTTATGAATTCATGGTTATTGTGTTTTTCTGTTGAAGGGAAAAATCAGATTTATTTTTCCCTAGGATGGTAACTTGGCATGAAGTTTGCTACTTATGGGTGCCTTAAATTTCTTAAGACTGGGGAGTAGAGTATGTTGCTTCTACTCAAAACTCCATGAATTACTAAAGCATTGGAATCACAGGAGCCTTTTAAATAGTTTCAGAACACAGTCTGTCACATGGTAAAGTGAGTTAAAGTGTTTGTCTAAATAGCAAAATTAAAATAACCATAAGGGGAAAACGTGAGTTTTGATCTTTTTGCATATATTTTTTTAAAATGCAGTTACCTTCACATGCTTGTTTTCCATCTGATAATTATTTACACCATAACTAGTTTTCTTACCTCTCAATTTCCATCTCAGGTATAAAATCATTAACCAAGTATAGTCAGAGTACATAAATAGGTTCATCTCATGGCTTTGCTTACTGTGCAGTCAACAAGTCATGTCTGGTATTGCCAGTGCTTTGATTACATCATTGTTTTTCTAATTTATTGCTTGTAGTCACTGTCTTCAACTGTGTGACTAAGTACTGGCAGTAGGTCAAGGTCTGCTCATTAATGCTTCTTCTTCGTAGTAAATTTTAAAGTTTTAAAACTACTAACTCTGGGATGTTCCATAATTCTTGGTAGCCTAAATTTTCCGGTTTTCTTGAAATCTTCGTGTGGCTTCTTGAAAGCCACACAGTGTGGCTTGAGCCAGCAGGGTTGTGGTTTGGGTTTTTTATTGTATTTTTATTTTGCACCCAGTATTAAAAAAATGTATGAACATTCTTGATTTCATGGACACTATAGAGAGCACATCTTGCAATGGCACTGTACACAGTGATATTGAGGTGGGCAGTTAGTACTCAATGCTTTTAGTCCTAGGTGTATATTTTCATAGGAAATGTTGACTCCCAAGCATATTTCAGCATAATTCCATGTGCAGTATTTATCTAGATTGGCTAAATTATTTGTACAAACTTATTTGAAATTAGTGGAACAAAAGAAGTTTTGACAGTCTCATGGCTTGCATGATGGACCATTGTATTTAGTTGTTTCCAAAGCAATATGGCTTTTAGTCCTAGGTGTATATTTTCATAGGAAATGTTGACTCCCAAGCATATTTCAGCATAATTCCATGTGCAGTATTTATCTAGATTGGCTAAATTATTTGTACAAACTTATTTGAAATTAGTGGAACAAAAGAAGTTTTGACAGTCTCATGGCTTGCATGATGGACCATTGTATTTAGTTGTTTCCAAAGCAATATGTACAGTGAGATGTTCTAGGAAAGTTTTTTAGTTCAACTATTTAGTTCATATTCTGTACAGTTTGCAAAGAAAGCTGCTTACAGCAAGATCCTCCTGAGAATTACTGTAATTGTACCTGAAGTGTAAAATTGTTGTGACGAAGCTGAGGTTTCAGATCACTCTGATCTTTGTGGTTCGTGTATCCCTGAACAAGGGGCTATTCTCTTCCTCCTAAATCAAGGTTAACTTGGAAGTCACTTTGTAGATGTTTGAAGATTGGACTTCACTAGGTGCTTTTTTTAGGCCAGCACTTATCTTGGATGAAATGGCGAGAGTAAAACTAATTTCACAAAAATACAACCTAGAAACTCCTTTTGCATTGTATAATGTTCAGTTAGAGTTGATGGGCTTCGAAGTATGCTAAATTTTGCAGTTGCATATTTCCAGTTGGAAAACAATGTATAACAAAATTACTTGACATTCCTGAAACATGGTAAAGATACTCAAAAACTGCCTGCTACCTTTCATGGAATATCAAAAACCCAAGAACCATATGCACTGGAATGCTTGAAGATTTAAAACAGGGAAGTAGCAGAAAAAGCTGTTTTCAAAGATTTATTGATTGAAGTTTTACAGAGCTTTAACTGTCTTTACAGTAATCTAGCTGATTGTAGTATATGGGAGTTTAAGACACTTTGCTGCTGTTCTGTGTTTACTGTTCACTTAAATTTTCTGTGGATTAATAACAAGGGAGCCAAAAGTAGCTATTTTTTTTTGATTTTATGAAAACATCCTGATTAAAATAATTGTGATACATTTTGGAACATTTTTAGCTTTTGGACTTGTTTGAAATTTGGTGTATTGTGAGATCTTTACAGGTTACATAAAATTCATTTAAATGTCAGTCACAAATACCAGTTTTCCGTTGTTCTCTAAGGCTTTTAAAGGACAGATGCATCAACCGTAGCAAAGGATTGTCACGGGGAATAGCTTCCTTCTGCTGTTGAAAGTAGGCAAACCCCTAACAGCTGGACTGGAACAACACATGTTCTGCAAGCTTTAAAAGATTAGGAAGCCCTCAGTGGTCCACTTTGACCCAATTTTGAACCTCCCCAAGCAGCTCTGTCCTGGCGATACAGACAACTCTGGCAGATCAGTGGCTTGAGGACTAGCTTCAGATAAAATGCTTGGTTGTCTTTTGTGTTCACCAAAAAAACAGGAGCTGCAGTACTTTTGGAGAAAGGATGACTTCCAAGTGTACAGTAACTGCAGAACTTTTTCCTGAATGAATATTTTATCAGGAGATGTAAATATTTCTTGAAATAGTTAAAGGATATGTGAGATTTTCATGACTTTGTGACTTACACAGGCAAAGCCTCTGAGCTCAGAGTTAGGTGATTGATAAGACCATTGTTGAGGTTGTTGTAGATTCAAATAAGACAGATTTTGACTATAAACTATTCGGGGGGGGAAATGTAAAACAAAAAGCTTCTTTAAAAAAAACGTTTAGCAACAGGAAAGAGAAGTAGAGTAGGATGTAATTTCTTTTTCCCCTTCAAAACAAGCAGGTTATAGGACCTATTTTATTGAAAAACTTGTTTCCGTTTCATCTTGGTTCAAAAGATGGTTTTTACAGAGATTTTCATCACTGACTGCATGCTGTGAGAGTAAATCTGCCTGTGGGTTCAGTACCAGAAGGCTGATTCAGTAGGAGTTTGTCAGCAGAGCTGCATGCAGGTAGAGAAGAGTCTCTTGCCAGGATTGCGCCTTACACGTAGGTAGGCTTTGTCTGGGGGAAAAAATTACATCTTTTATACAACTCCAAAATGCTTCTTATAACTTTTTATCTGCATACCTTGTGAATAATTTAAACTTCAGCTACTTCAGCATGTATTTAAATGCTTTTAAGTTGTTAATCTCAAATAATTGAGTATATTTAATTAAAGAATAAGCCCGTATTCTGTTCTTTGTGTGTATTCCGAGTTTCGCTTTTCAGTTGAAGAATTTCAGCCCATGTTATAAATTTTTATGTTGGAGGTTATTTGTGCTCTGAGCATACTGCTCCTGTGTTTGCCATAACGCAGTATAAAATTTTTATGTTAATTGGAGCTTGTGTCCTCTGTTTAGTTATAATAAAAGTATCATTTTGAAACCTAATCTCTCTATTATTTTTCTGTTACTTTTGCCTATTTAGTGTTAATTTATTGCTGTTCCCATGAGGTGCCAGGCACAGAGCTGGATGCTGATGAGCTGAGTATTATAACTGAAATGTCTGGGGCAGGTGAAGGACTAATCCTTGAGGTGGTGGGTTGTGTGAGATTTGGTGGGGTGGTAGTTTTTGCAGAGATTCTCTTGACAAATGGGGGACTGATCCCTGGGGTAGTGAATTGTGCTGAACCATTCCTTCTAACTACTGTACTTTAGGTGAACAAAGGGGAGCTGTGTACTCTTTCTTATATGGAACTAATGGAAAGATTAAGATCTATAGATCTGAAGAGATCCAAACAGCAATAACCTTAGGAAGGATATATTTTTGGTCTTAGTCCAAGTTAAGGGAGAAAAGATGTCTGAAATGATTCCAGAGATGATTTTATGCCTGGCTGTGCCCCTTGCTCCCAATTCTGAAACATTTTACATATTCCTCTGTAATCCTAATATTCTTCACAAAGTTAACCTCAGTGCCCAGCAGACTTCTAAGTCTTCAGCTTTTCCAACAATATGCTTTTAAAAAGTTGTTAATGATTTACAGTTAACTCAGCATCTGAAGCCTCAGCAGCCTGGGTGGGAAGGCAGAGAGCACCTGAGGCAGCAAAGTGTCCTGTACATGTCCTTGGAAATAACTGAGCTATCTCAAATAGAACTGGTATCGTTACTGTTTCAGAAGCTTCAGCGCTCGCCTTGACCCAGCTATGGTTGGCACTTACAGAAATGTGTACCAGAGAAGATCCAGACCCAAAGTATGCAGAGGTCCTATTGCACAGAGCTCAGTGAAAGTAGTCTCCGGGCTGCTTTCAAGCAGGATTTGGGAACATACAAATGTTGAATCTACTTCCTGGTGTCTAAGTGTTTCAACAGATGGCTGAAAACAACCTCCTGCCGTGACATACTTTTAAAATAACCTACGTTGGGTTGCAGATTTTTCCTTCTTTTGCTTAAAACCAAGGATCAGGTAAAAAGCTTTAAAAGTGGCTTTTGCTTTTAAGAATTTCCTTCAATGACAGGCTTACTTAGGATGAATAGGAGTGTTGTGCAACAGTGTGGTCAAACCAAACAGCAGAGAAGTCAAGGGTTGAATTTGTGAATTAAATGTG